GGCTCACAGCCAGCGGGGCTTTTTTTGGGCCCACAGTTTACTCCAGTGTAAAATCACTATCATTACAGAGCTGTAAGGGCACAGTGTTCCAAGCTTTCGGAAAGTACAGCATTTTGATGTGTGGAATGTTTTTAGGGACAGTGCCCGATACAATAATGGGTCCCATCAGTAGCTGTGGTCTCACTGGGTTTTTTTTTTTATTCTAGAGTAGAACCTGAGACGAAGTACAGTCACATGCACAAACAGTACACAGGGCTATCATTCCCATGCTCTTTGGTCAGGATAAAAGGCTCATGTTTGTGTGTGTGTTTTTTTTCTGTGTGTAGGAAATGACCTGTTCCTGGTGGCTGTGCATGAGCTGGGCCATGCATTAGGTTTGGAGCACTCCAATGACCCCACAGCCATCATGGCTCCCTTCTACCAGTACATGGACACCGAGAACTTCAAGTTGCCTCACGATGACCTGCAGGGCATCCAGAAGATTTATGGTAAGAGTTGCAGCCTCAGTCAGATCTGATCACAGCTGGTCAACAACTTGGCCACTGTAGCTTACGAAGGTCATTTGTCTGGAAAAGTGCTGGTCATTTGTTTGGAAACACTTTCCTTTTCCCGATCAACACATTAGAGTAATATCTTATGGATGTAGCCAGCTACAGTTACTGAAGGATCCTGCCCAACACAGCAGAGGCAATGAAATTCAGTATCCTATTTACCTGTTTTACCTACTTCATCTGATTAACAACCCACAAATAGCTAAGATCATTCTATTGTTCTGGAAAAACCATGAATGTTCCTGGCATTCAGAAGTTTGTTGTGGTCACTGCATTCACAATCACCTGAAGATTTACATTATGTTAAGAGCAGCGGGCAAGAGTGGGAAATTTTTTTTTTAATGAATGCTCATTGAGAAATGGAGAACATATTGCAGATATATTCACCAGTATTTCGATCCTTGAAGCTGGAATTAGTTAGACCTTTCCATACAAAGATACAAAGAAGTTTAGGACTAGTAGGCCTACAGGAAAACGAAAGACAAAGAAGACTGATTTCCGCATTCATTAAATAGATAGTCAGAGTAAATTTGGTCAGGGCAGAGCTTCACAAGGTTAGCGTTTCCTCTCACCCCCCGCCCTCTTTCCCTGGTTTCCTTTCTACACTCTGCCCATCCTATACAACTCCAAGGGCAGGTCAGACCTGGGCTCCTTGGGCAGAAGTTCACATCCTCAGTACACTCCCACCCCTCTCTCCACTCTCTGCTCTTCCTCTCCCATTTCCTTTCAAGCCTTTCTTCTGTGGACAGGCACACATGTCCATACACACACAGGATGAGGTCTGACGCAGAAGATCAGGCTTTAAGATAATAGTCACAAACAGCCTGTGGAGCGTGCACACTGACAGATACGCAAAAATTGCATTCAAACCAGACCATTTTCCATTAGAGTTTACAGCAACAGGAGGCAGAGTAGACATATAAGTTACATGGAGTTTAACATTATGCAAATGACAAGGAAAGTGATTTACTGATTGTCAGTGAGTGTGAGGGTGCTGGGATTCAGGATGCAACCATCTTCCACCACTTTAAAGCATCCCTGTTTTATGATTGTATTGCTACATGAAATAAAAATGTCTCTGATTTTAGGTGCGCTTGATTAGCATATTAACAGCCTGCTGACTTTAGCAAACTGCTTATCTTAAATCAGCATATAAACATTGGTGCACCTGTTGTTCCCAAGCACTAAATGTATTTTAAATAGCTTATACACCTGACCATTACACCCATATGTGGGTCTTACACAAACTGTTGCCACAAAGTCGGAAGCACACAATTGTATAGAATGTCTTTGTATGCTGTAGCTTTAAGAATTCCCTTCACTAGAACTAAGGGGCCCAAACCTGTTCCATCATGACAATGACCCTGTACACAAAGTGAGTTCCATGAAGACATGGTTTGCACAGAGTCCTGACCTCAACCCCACTGAACACCTTTGAGATGAATTGGAATGCTGACCACGTGCCAGGCCTCCTCGCCCGACGTCAGTGCCTAACCTCACTAATTCTCTTGTGACTGAATAAGCAAATCCCCATAGCCACGCTCCAAAATCTAGTGGAAAGCCTTCCCAGAAGAGTGGAGGTTGTTATAACAACAATGGGGACTAAATCTGGAATGGGACATTCAAAAAGTACATATGGGTGTGATGGTCAGGTGTCCACAGAGTTTTGGCCATATAGTGTATTAGTAGTTTTGACTTTACAGTTATCTGATTTATTGTGGAATAACTACAAGTTGTTAAACAAACAGAATGCATGTGACTCACAGAAAGCAGTAGTAGTTGGGACCTGCTACTAGCAACAGTATAGCTGTTCAGGACTTTAGGCAAATCCACTGTTGATGCTTGTAATTCAGAAACTCTTTGGCAATTTTTCAGTAACTCGTGAACCCTTATTCTCTTTTCTACAAGAGAAACCCAAGCCAGTTTTAGTTCCATGGCCATAGTTACTTCATCTTTTAAGCTTGTTTTGCTTTTTCTCACTGTCGCCTTTTCTCTCTGTCTCTCTCTTTCTGCCTGCTCTCTGCTATATTGTAATGGTAGCTGGGGCTTTCTCTTCTAACCCACACACTATTTTAGGAGATTATTTCAGTCAGTGAATGAAATCTCGCTCTCCCCCCTGCTGATCAGACTACGCTGAGATAACCAGAGGTGTAACTATCCCTTTAATCAGCTCAACTTGCCTCCAGGGCAACACTGCAGTATCATGATTTTACTCACCCATCACTTCCCTTACAAACATTTGACCACTAAAGGCCTTTTTGGACTGTGAGACTCAACCTCATTGCAGTTTTCCTCAAGTCATGAAGATTTTAGCTTAATTGGTTTTATTATGTAACAAATTATAGCTAATATTTACTTAATTTATAATCACTCACATGTAATTCTACTTTTACTGTAATGGTTCAAGCTAGAAGCATGGTTATGGAATGAGTGCACTGGAATGTATTTGATACAGCAGTTATGATGACATGTCATAGTGTGTTTTCATATATCTTGGAGGACGACTTGAACGTAGCTAGTGAAATGTCATGTGAAATTCACTTTTCTCTTTGCAAAATAAAAGGTTAGATAAGGTAAGATATTCGTAATGGTTCTAAATCTAATGTATGCTTCTTCTTTTTAGGGCCCCCCGACAAGATTCCTCAGCCTACAAAACCTCTACCAACAGCCCCCCCTCCACGTTCTCACCCCCCTTCAGACCCACGCAAACACGACCGTCAGACACGACCACCGCGTTTACCCACTGGGGACAAACCCACGCATCCCAACGCCAAGCCCAACATCTGCGATGGCGACTTCAACACACTCGCCATCCTGCGCCGAGAGATGTTTGTGTTTAAGGTAGTTCGATATACATTACTTGGAATTCATATGGGGCATATTCTGGCCAAAAACGTAGTGTACTAGATCCTATAATAAGGAGCCTGTCTTGTGAGATTCAACTGTTAGACTTTTCAACTTTCTCATTACTGTATGGGGCAGCAGTTCCACTCAGGGTCTTCCCTTATGAAAGCCCTTTTCTTTCCCTAGGTTATAAACACCGCTAGCTATAACTGAATGGCACACAGTATACACAGTCATACGCCTGTTGAAAACAGCACAGATCAGGCAATGTTACAGCGCCATGTGTGAGAGCAGTGTGCTTCTCATGTGTTACACGTGTTCAGTTTCCTCCTGGTGAGTTGAATGTCAGTGATCCATGAAAGGAGTGTCTTTTCTGACCCACTGAATCTAACACTTTCTTTACAGCCCTAGGCAGCAAGATAATGGGGGCTTTAGGCTCTGTCTGCCATTTAGTAAACCTACCTGCAATCAGCAGAACTCTTCAAATGAGACATGCTGAAGAATGTTCTGCATCTTCTTTGTCCTCTAAACAAACCGCTGAAGAGAGTGTGAGTCCTGGAGCCATTCTAAAGTTCCCTGATCTGTGAGTCAGCTCACAACACTCTAGCAACCCATAAAACCCCTTAAAGCCACACAAAGATATCCTGTTTTCTCTCCACTAAATCGTTTGTCTGTATTTTTACTAGGCTTATAAATATCCTGATTTCATGTCATGTTGAAGGAGGAGTGATAATATGGTATCTTTTTGTGAAACCACTCTGATAAGCAGTTCATTTTCACTTAAAGATATTTTTGTTTGTTTGTTTTGTCTAAACTTGTAATTGGAGTGGTGTTTGTAGCGGTGTAGAGAGTAGTCTCTTATTAATATGTGGATGATGTATCACTGGAACAATCGACACATCTCACTCGGAGATTGGGGGCAAATTAGGAGCAAAAGGTTTCGACCAGATATTTTGGATTTTTAAATTGGCAGTTGTTCCTGTGGAAGCTTTTCTGGTGCGTTTCAGTGATGCACAAGAATAAAACTCCAGGCAGTGAAGCTGGCCTGCATATCAACTCACATTTGTATCTCAACACAGACATGTTATCATCTTTTCCTGCCTACAGCCCCTAGGCTGATGCGTATCATGAAATTTCAAGATGCCTGAGAGAGAGAGAGAGAGAGAGAGAGAGAGAGAGAGACAGGAATTGTAACTGCTTATGGAGAGGTAGATGATCTTTTCATTTTCACACCCCACAGCTAAGGCCACTCATGTTTTAAGTGTTGGACATGGTCCACGATGAGAAATTGACTGGAGGTTATATCTCATGGCTAACTGTACATTTGGTGGTGCCTCATTTTTGCTTTGGTTTTGTTCTTTCAGCAAGTCGGAGGAGGTTCCATCTCAGTTTTGTCAAGCTGCAGTGTTCTTTAATTGTCTTCAATTGTAAACGTGTTGCTCAGGCTAATCTAGGTACTGGATTCCGTTCTTCTCCTTTCGGCTGCTCCCATTAGGGGTCGTCACAGTGGATCATTAGTCCGCATGTTTGCTTTGGCACAGTTTTTACACTTAGGACTGGCACTGGAGGTGCACTGTCTTGTGCAACCCCGGTAGCTGGGGTTGGATCCCTGGCCAGGAGTCAAACCCGGGCCGTGGCGGTGAGAACACCATGGCCTAACCACTAATCCACTAGGGACCCCTAGTTACTGGATTAAATATCAAGGCATTTTATCAAGGCAGCTGAAATTTAGGCATAATTTAGCTTCATTTTCTCCTGCTACTGAAATGCTTGTTCTGTGTAATTGTATATGGTAATATAATTGTGTATGGTATTGAACTGTGCCATATGGTTGGTTATACTGTATGTGTTAGCTAAAAAAATCCTCCGTTTAAACTTGGTCATTTTTGACTGGAAGTGATGTTGCTTGTGTTAAGGGCCAGCGGCGGTGGTAATTGACTTAGCTCATTAAGCTGGACTTCAGCAGAACAAACCCAGCGATCCAGAGAGTGAAGGATTATATTAGCCTCATTTGGTGAGCAGCAGGAGAGACAGAGATCTGCTGTTGCTATCTCATCAAACTTAAGAATCAATCACCCCCCATGCTGGAGTTTCAATAACACACACGCACGCATACACAAAGTGACAGCTTAAGCACCACAAGTCCAAAGTGGCAGAGAGAGAGAGAGAGAGACAGAGAAAGAGAGAGGCACACTTCATCAGGGCTGTACAGCCCTAGTTTCTCCTCCCACAGAAAGAAATTAATTGATTCACTGTGAACCAAAGATGTGGGATGTTAATTAAAGATGAGGGCCCTTCCTCCTGAGGCTCTCTTCAGAAGCATGGAGTGTGTGATGGCTGAGTGATGGAGAAGTGTTGAAAGACTTGTAGCTCTCTTTTGACTCTGTGTTCCTCTGCACTGAAGAGTGAAATGGTTTTAACTGTGGCCTTTTTAAACATCCAAGTTTGTCATCACAGGCAGATGTTTCATATCCACTCTCTCTTATGGGCTCTCAAATGTAGCTCTGAAATTCAAAAGCAATCATTCTAAGTGCTGTTTCTTTAGAGGTTATAGATTTTGTGCTCTCTAATAACTTGTGATTAAAGCAGAGCTATTCATTGGTTCATTGGTAAAGTTGTGGCACATGGACAAAATTAAGCTAGCTCTTCATTTCAGTCTCAGATGCGCATGCAATAAAACTTAAAAGGCAAAAGCACTTTTGGCAAATGCAGCATCCTCATGGCGTTCAACTGCGCTTGAATCCATCCCAAGCTCTCTCCATACTGTTTTCTCTTTTTAAATTCTTTGTCAGCAACTTGGAGATATATGATCCACATGATCAGCCAAGAGGCAGAGATCCTACAGGCATACATCTGGCTTATGCGATTACCATGCACAAAGTTACTTCTTCATGAGCGCGCACCCACACACAAAAAACCCCTGCTCCTTGCTTTAGGGTTTGCAGACCTCATCTCCCATATGCCTGATGTAGACGGACAATCGAAAGCTGTTTCTTTCCGGGGGGTGAGAATACGTTTTGAGCGGTGCATGCCGTCTGAATAAAATCAGTGGCAGTTGATTCACAAGCAGCTCTTAAACAGCACCGACAGTTTCATACGCACTAACTGTATTCTCTCTTTACAATTGTTGCATTGTCATGTCCAGAATCAAACAGAACCTGTCTGCATCGGTATGGCCAACCATCTTCCAGAAAGACTCCACTATTTTCTACACTCAGTTCCCTCCTCTTGGCCCCAGCTTGGAAGTGTGTATTTGAAGTGTATAAGTGTGACATTGTGCTGGCAGTATGTTGTTTGATGTAGCTCAGGCATGTGCTGAAGGATCTTCTCTTGCGCACTCCAGTGCTGAGAGTCCACCTGTCTTTTTTTTTTTTTTTTTTTTTTTTTTTTTTTTTTTTTTTTTTTTTTTTTTTTTTTTTTTT